TTTTAAGAACAATGAACAGTCCCCCAACCAGTACTTGCAGGAATTAGATATCAATAAAAAGTTTATCTTAAGGATGAACACAACCTATATATATTTTGAAGTAGCAGGACAGATGGAAAGAATAGGAAAAAAACCGTTAACTGGGATTGTAAAGAAACAAAAAAAGTTGAATGGAATTAATGCCAAGATAAAAAGACCAGGGGTGGTGTTTTGTTTTCATTCATTCTTTTTTTTTTTTTAATGTGAAAATATACTTGTTTACATAAAAATTCTTATCTGAGTAACAAATGGATAGTTGAAGAAGAAACCACGGACACAATTTTAACAATTTCCACAGGATACTCAAGGCGCTTGATACAAAGGCTGAAGATGCCCCCGTGTGGCTAGATAAGAAACTGCTGTACTTTAAGTAAAATGCAGGCTAGGAGGCTAGTCACAAATTTATTCACTTCTTTAAGAGCCCTCAGGTTTCCCACATCCTTGTCATCTTGTCTACAACTTGAAGTTTTGCTATTATGCTCACAGTAAACTCTGTATATACTGTGCACATATATATTAAAAATACACAGTAGATTAAAAAAATATATATATACACACTAACGTTTTATTTAAGTAACAAGAACCCTTAATGTTGCTGGCATATCAAAATGGACGCCAGTCTGTTAGGATGTGAGGAGTGAAGGAACCAAACAAATTCCAAAGAAAAGCAGCTTTAGTGACCTCTGAAACACGCTCTGCTTCTGTTTCCACTTTAGTTATCAAGAGATCAGAAGCCAATGCCAAGGACCAGAACAGAATTTAGTATCACAGAGATTTCATTTCAAACCAATGCAATCAAGATAAAGTTGACCTCTAGACACTCAGGGAGAGCATCACCCAACATTCTGATATGTGGGCCGATAAAGAAAAATCCCTTTCCCCAATACCAGAGGTGCATGCTATCCGCTCAACTATAAAGTATATGCAGAACTCAAATAATTTCTAGATGACCTCTAAAAAGGCTTCCAAGGTTCTCTCAGGAGATGGTCTACAAGAAGAAACACATTCCTCTCTAAGAGGGGAATGAAGACATCCACACATAGGCAAGGGCCTCATACTATACTGCAGAAACTTCCTTTGCCACAGCCTATTTCTTAGAGAACTAGCTCATCACCTATAAAACCTCCTGCACTGATACCACACTTGAGATCTGGGGCTGTGAAGCACATATTGATACAGACCCACTATTTGTGCTTCTAGTTACAAAGTATTTTCTTTGAATTCCTATGAAGTAGGCTTACACAAAAGCCAATAAGGCAAGGAGTGTAAATAAATATACAAGGAGCTCTGGTAGCAGTTACGAACTGGTCTGCTAACCTCAAGGTTGGAAGTTTGAAACTACCAGATGCTCCGCGGAGAAAGAGGCTTTCTGCTCACTTAAGATTTACAGCCTTGGAAACCCTGTTCAGGGTCACTATGAGTCAGAACCGACTCCACGGTACTTAACAACAACAATATTATAACATGGAATAATACAAGATATTAAACATGAAAAAAAAAAAGCATTAGAAGTTCAATCCTTTCACACAATCCCATCTAAAGAAACACATTGATAGGAAACACAATGAAATGCTAATACTGGTTGTGTTAGAGAAGATTGAGACTTGGGGTAATTTTGCTGTTCTCTACTTTATTGACTACACAAAGGCTTTTGATTGTGTGGTCATGACAAGGTATGGACAACATTGCGAAGTATGAGTATTCCAGAACACTTCATTGTATTCATAAGGAATCTGTACCTGGACCAAGAAGCAGGTGTTCAAACAGAACATGGGAACACTGAATGTTTTAAAATTAAGAAAGGTGTACGACAAGGTTGTATTCTTTCACCATACTTATTCAATCTGTATGATGAGCAAATAATACGATAAGCTGGATTCTATGAAGAAAAACGTGGCATCAGGATTGGAGGAAGACTCATTAACAACCTGCGATATGCAGATGATACAACCTTGCTTGCTGAAAGTGAAGAGGACTTAATACATTTACTGATGAAGATCAAAGAGCACAGCCTTCAGTATAGATTACATCTCAATGTCAAGAAAACAATAAACAACATTCTTATCAATGGAGAAAAGATTAAAGTTGTCAAAGACTTCATTCTTTGGATCAACTATCAACACTCACAGAAACAGCAGTCAAAAGATCAGGCAATGTATTGCATTAGGCAAATCTGCTGCACAGGAACTTTTTAAAGTGTTGAAGAGCAGAGATGTCAGCTTGAGGACTAAGGTGTACCTGACCCAAGCCATGGTATTTTCAATAACCTCATAGGCATGTGAAAGCTGGACAGTGAATAAGGAAGACCACAGAAGAATTGATGCCTTTGAATTGTGGTGTTGGAGGAGAATACTTTAAAAGTGCTGCCAAAATGCTCCTTGGAGGCCAGGATGGCCAAACTTCATCTCTCATACTTTGGATATATTGTCAGGAGGGAACAGTCGCTGGAGAAGGACATGTTTGGTAAGATGGAGGGTCACAGAAAAAGACAAAGACCCCCAACAAGATGGATTGGCTAGGTGGCAGCATCGATGGACTCCAGTGTGGCAACAACAGTGAGGTTGGCCCAGGATCAGACATTATTTCATTCTGCTGTGCATAAGGTCTCTATGAGTCTGTGCCAACTCGATGGCACCTAACAACAACAACTTTTCATTTATCTAAACCTTCTTTAATGCGTATGTGACACTCATATAATGAAACAAGCAAGCAACAGCAATACTTACTACTTGTTGAATGAATAGTTGCCACTTATCTCTATCCTAAAATTGTATCAAGAAAGCTAGGTTTAGTGACTGCGTATTATTTGAGTGTGGCAGTCATCAGAGGCAAGTACAGTAGTATGGCATGGGTGGGTACCACAGAAAATACTAGACTGGAGGCATTGAACTGAATCCTGTCAAATAAGGGACTGAACTGAAATAGTGGCTCTTAATTCTCAGTGAATTACCAACTCTTGTCTATAAGTTAAGGATCCTCTCCTCAAGAAACCAAACAAATAAACAGAATAACATATATGCTCACAGAACTTAACAGCAATAATTCCAGGGGGCTTAGGGATATTCTAGAGGTCCACAGAGCTGGTTAAGAACACTGGTTTTTTTATTTAACTAAATACTAGACAGGCCTACAAAGCAAGCAGCAGTAACACCCGTGAGGATACTGCTCATCCAACAATCAACTATACGAGACCAAAAGAGCGCATCTGCCCCAAAACAAAGTTCAGAAGGCAGGAGGGGAGGAAATTAGGATGAATGGAAACAAGGAACTCAAGAGAAGGAAGTGGGAAGAGCGTTGTTCATGGAGGGAATTGCACTAATGTCACAAAATGTGTGTAAATTATTGAATGGGAAATGAACTTGCTCTGTAAACTGCACCCAAACCACAAGAAAATATTCTATTTTAAAAAAAGCCACACTGGTTAGTATGTTCTTTTTTTTTTTTTTTTCAAATCTATTTTTAACATTCTTGATGGTTAATATGTTCTTTTCCACAGATATCTTCACTACCATGGGGAGGAATACTAGAGTCCTATTTTCATTTCCTGTATCTTTGTTGAGGGCCTGATCTACTGCTGTCAAGATATGCCAAGGCCATCAACTTCCTTTCCTAACCAACAGCCATCTCTCAAAAGGGTGGCTTAACTACTCAGTTTCACGGCGCTCTTCGTAGGTGACAAGGAGCTCAATGACAAATTTTAGTCTAAACAGAACCACTGATACAATCAAGCCGTGAAAGTCAAGCGCACCAGAGGGTAACTGAGACACCAAAAGAACAAAAACCATGATGCCTTTTCCAGAAGCATTCCTGCTGGGTCCTGGCATTTCAATTAGAAACACGCTTTGAAACATGGTTACTCTGGCCTCAGAATTAGCAGGTAAGCATAGAGGGGATTCTACCTGAACCTACAAAAACAGTATCTGGTCAGCAGCAATTTACTAGGGGACTTCAGCAAGTGCATGGAAAAATTCCATTATTCTGTAATTATTCCATTTTTCCATGAACTTTTTGAAGCCCTCTCAAATCTGCCAACAGATGTGACTTTTGTGAGCTGACAGCTGCACATACTATATCTCACTCCATTTCTTATTTGTATAAAAAAACACTCACCACCCAAAGCAAAAAATAAAAATGAAACAAAAAACTCTTCCCCAACCCCAAGGATTTAAACAGGATTGACAGTTTTCGATTCTGAATAGTCTTATATTAAAAAATAAAACAAAGCTCTAATTCAAATGTCAAAGCAAATGAAAATCACACAGCAGTAAAAACTGCTTCAAAATGGCTGGCCGTAGGAGGACAGCTGTTCTGTTGTGTCCTACTCACATCTGGAGTTCTGCTTATCTAATTGTTTCAGAAATAAGCACCATTAAAATGGACATCTGTCAGGCAGGAGACTTTCCACAGGCACTCCTGGCATCACTAGGGTTTCTCTTACTGACTCCCACCAACCACACCTCCTTTTTCAGGTATGAGCCAGGGGTACTTTGTATGTAGCCAAAGTGAATCAGTATGGTCTTGAAAAGGGTCTCTATCTGCCCTGATGAACCATCTCCACTTAGAGGAAGAGAGAGCCAACCTTTCTCATGAAGTAAGTGTGACTCAGCCCAAAACCCCAAAACAAGCCCCTTGGTCTCAGAGAACCAGTCCAAGCTGAGGAGAACAGCTTAAATCAGGTTTAAGTCCCTCATGAGTATACTGAAGCCTTTTTGTGTTCCTTATAACCACAACTCTTCCTTCTGAAATACCGTTAATGAATCTCTCAAGAAATTGGGAAAAAAAAAAAAAAAAACGGGGAGGGGGGGGATAGGGGAGGACTTAAAAATGGATTAATTAGTTTCTATTTTTGGAGTATTTCACATAATGCTACCACTGAGCCATAGGTAGAATTCTACCCACTGGCCACTCCAAAGCACACGGCTTTAATAGACAGATATCCCAACTGTGCTAGAAATTTGAAGTTAACTAGCAACAAGCCTGAAAATTTGGTTACGTATATAGGTACAAAGTTGGTTCATCAAATCCCTGTTTTGGCCCTCAACCCAATGCATTTCAACTAACGCATCATCTACCTCCTTCTTAACATTTATCAAACACTTAAACAGATAATGTCCAGCCACTTCTTGGAGATGTTTCCCTTTTTCAGCCACTGGGTTGCTGAACTGCTCAGATGCCTCTCCGTCCTGGGGTCCATTGCTAAAGCCTTTACAACTTTCCAAAACCTCCACCCCTCCCTTTCCCTCACTCCTTTCATCCTCCATGGGCTCTGGGTTTTCTTCTTGGGAAAGGGAATGCTGGTTAAGGCAGTGGCCCTTAACAGTGACAGGCTCGCCTTCCTGAAGAGCAGGGGCACTCTTCTGGGGACCCTGGACCAAATCTTGGCTATTGCCAGACTCTTTGGGAGTGGATTTTTTCTCTTCCAAGGCTTGGATGATGCCCTCAGGAGCTCGGGGAACTTCTCTCAATTGTCTCACTCGATCTCTTTTCTTTCTCCTTAAATGAATCCAGGAGTTTTCTATGGCTGTTAGGAAAAGGCTAACTTCTTCCTTTCCACAGGGAACTCGCTTATGCTGGACCTATTTGGAGGAAAAACAGAATTTTATAGGAAATCACTTTTCCTTCTCTTCTCCAAACTCCTTCTAAAAAGGAAGAAAAGAAGAAAGGAAGAGTAGTACAAGTACTTCTTCACAACACACTTAACCAGGTACCTTCAGATCGGTGAGAATTTTTTCAATCCATGTTGTCACAACCACTATGCCTTCCATGGTCTCAGAACCCAAAGACGATGATGCTTTAAGGGATAATTCCTTCATCACAGATTCCAAAACAACAAATGTAATTGGTTTCCGTGGCTTTTCCAATTTTCTTCGTTTACTTGGTGGCGACTAAAGAAAAGGAGGCATAGGAAAAGAGGAAAGTTATACAAATAAACTTCCTGCATTATAATCAGTTTAACGGTTACCAATAGTAGAACATTAAAAAAGCAAGTCCTTTGTTCACGTTGTCTCCAATATCTAAAACAATCCTGTATGAGTGGGTTCTCTCCCATTTTATAGATGGGAAAACTAAGATACTTAGCAGCTATGCAAACACCTCAGGGTCATATAAGCTACAGAGCTAGAATTCGAACCCCAAACCCAAGTTCTTTCTACCATACATACAATGCTGCCTCTCTCTGGCCATCAGTATACCACTCTTTTAATTGCTTAGTATTCCATTCCACTATTTTGCTGAAAGTGGGCAAGCCTGTATACCTATTTCTTGCATGGCAACTCAAGGACCCTAGGGTACTATGTTCTTTATTTCTATAGAGAATTGCCTGGACTCTCCAACTCGTAGCTTGAATTTGTACTTGCTGATGTTTGAAATAAAGCAGCTTGTGACCCACAGTTGAGGAAACAACAAGCTAGGAACAACCAGGGCCAAAAAGAGCTCATGGGCTGAAGAGGAGGACTGCTGAATCCTGGTTAATGTTGGCACCAAGTCAGTGGCAAGCTTCGATAGGGCCACACCAGTACTGATGAAAACAGTGGATCTGAAATTGGTTCCACATAAATCAAGACTGTTGTCTCTCTCTTACTATCTCAAGCTGAATTCTATCTTACTCACTAGAGGGACTCAAGCTCCATTTAAAGAACCAAATGACATCACTGTATTTAAATAATAATAATAAAAAGACTCTTAGCTATGACTATAAATATTATGGACACTTTAAAGAATGACTCAACAGTAAAGGGTTCCTGCAAAAATGAATCCCAAATAACTGTAGCTTCTAACTCGGATTCTGTCTGGAGACATTGTCAGTACATCTAATTACAAGATGAGGACTTGTAAGAGTTAATGGCAATCGTACACTTCATAAATACATAACAAAATAGTCAGTTCGTTCTATGTTAGAACTCTTTCAACTGTCAGAAATGATATTTTCAAGAAACAATCTGTATTTTCTACTTAATACCAGATATTAACTATTTTTTAAAAAAAGGAAAGGAAAGAACCCTAGAAAACAAACTTAGAAGAAAGAAAAGGGCCAAAAGCAAAGGGTGTGTCTGAGCAAGAACCCGCTCTGAGAAATGAATAGTGGAACTCTAACTGCTGCCTGAGCTTGAACTTGTTCAACTATGGTTTCAGGCATGATCGGACAGATTCACAGCGACATGAAGACAGGAGAACTGCTATTGCTCAACCATGCAGCATGAGGAACATCATTTCTACAGTTTACTGAGAGCCTCATAAGGGTTCAAGTGTGGTAGTACTGTAGGATAAGCACTGGGCTGCTAACCATGAGATCAGTGATTCAAAGACATCAGCCGCTCCTTTGGAAACCCCTATACAGGGCTGCTATGAGTTGGACCCAACTTGACGCACTAACAACAATAACAAAAGCCTCACAGACATTTTGACACTTTGCACTAAGGAACTAAAATGTGATTAATTAAGTTGGGGACAAAGGCAAAGGTGGTGGTGGTGATGGCAGCAGCAGTGGTGGATGTGTACATACAAAATAGAGGACAAGTGTCAGATTATCTGCTTCACATCCTGTATCCAAGGCCTTCCCAGGGAAAACTCACTATGACAGGTCCAGCACATCTAAAGTCATCTACTAATCTGCCTAAAAGGACAGCAGCTCATACTTATTTTACAGGTGCTCACAGCCATTTGCACCTACAAATTGCAACCAGCAAAGTACAGATATTGTTGTGTTTCTCTCTTGTCATACTAGGTCTGGCCCTCAATACTCTGCCCAAAAGTATGAATTTTTAAATTTTTTATTTAGAATTATGACATACCACCTCTGTAAACCAAGAGCTGTATCAGGGATCTACATTTATAGCTCTGGGGGAGTTAGAACCAACAAACAGAAGAAACAATTTGCTAAGGGGTGATTCCAGATCTGAAGAACTTCCCTGTCTCAAACATGGCTCCCTCGCGCCCAGGAACCTGGCCCTGGTTTTCCACAGACAATGGTCCAGCAATAAATATGGCGTGCTGAGGGTTTCTAATGAATTGACGAATATATGTATACATATACAAACTCAGGATTATTTTAAAATTAGTTTTAGTCTATTACAGTAACTGGTCCCTAAGGAGAGAGAGAACAATTTATATTCTTGAAATTCTCAAACAAGGTTTTTAAATGATTAAACTCAAGTACTGTTTATAGCAAAGCAAACATCCCTCTCCCACCTTTGCTTGTATTGAAAATTCTTAGCAGGCAGGCAGGCAGGACTGTAGTAAGATAAAAGATCAGATCTTAAGAATAAATAAATAAAATTCAACTTCACATGCCTACGTAATTTTATACCCTGTCACAAACACTAATAAACAGAATCTGTCCGTCTCCAATGAAAATCATCTTTTGCTACTATGCCGTGACTTCAAATCACAAATATTTAAAATGAAAGGTGTTACACTCAAACAGTCACAATCTAGTTTAACAGGCAAGAGAGATATAAGTAATTCAACATTTTAAAGTTTAAGGAAAAACAAAAAACCATTCACAGTGGATAATCCAGTTTAATGCAAAGTACCATAAATCAAATTAACATGTGACTTTGGATTAGGAGACAGCCTACTCTACTGCCCTACTATATTATTACCTGGATGAATGATAGAATGAAGAAGTCTGTGGAACTGCAGCCTCACAAGGGATACAGGATTTCTATCTTTCAAACTGCAAGGATTCACTGAATGACAAATAAGGTGGGGCGCTTCAGGTGTTCCTTCATTGTATTGTTTAAAACATTAGATTGAAGCCATAAATTGGGCAAAAATGAGTTCATAAACTTTAAAATATGCTTTATCTGGTAGGGCTATTTACAAATTTCTAAATCTCACTTTTGCTTTATTTTCTAGATCTCAGTAGTACAAGCAGTCAGGAGACTGTTAAATGACAGATGCGGTGCAGCAGGATAAGGCACTCAACTTCAAAGTTGGTTAAGGTTGGCATTTCAAACTCACCAGCCTCTCCTCAAAAACCGTATAGAGGGTTGCTATATGAGTCAGAACTCATTCAACAGCACTTAACAACAACAACAGCATAACACACGTTAGAATGTTGCATCTGCCATACTGTCCATGCTCTGCTGCTCACTATGTTGTTGTTAAGTGCCGTTGAGTCAGTTCTGACCCACAGCGACCCTGTATAGGGTTTCCAAGGAGCCACTGGTGAGCTTGAACTGCTGCCCGTCTGGTGCATTAACTCACAGCACCACACCAGGCCTTCTAATAGATACAGCAAAACCTCCAGTGAAGCCACAAGCAGCATGAAGTTATCACACTGTCCTAGAATAGTCAGGAAGAGAGAACAGAGACATTTTGGCTAGAAACTTGCTGAGTGAAGCCAATGACTCATTTTGAAAAACAGCTTCTAGACATGGGAGACTGGCCTTAAGTGGCGAGGGGTGCTCTCAGTCACGGCACTCAGGCCCCCCAGTGCTCCACTACCCTCTTAAAGTCTACTGCCCCAGGTCCTCCTCAGGCTATCATTTGAAGAAGAGCCTAGGGGCCAACACTGGCATTAGCTAGGAACATGGACAAGTGGGGTATCAGCTCTGCTTCCATGCAATAAGATGAACTATTTTGCTCTCTAAGGGTAAAGCTTCTAGTATCAGTCTTATGGATATCACTTTTGTTAATTTAATCAGATGTTTCTGTTTAAAATGTTCAGAAATAATACCCAGGATACATACAAAAAAAAAAAAAAAAAGCAAGAGGAGAAAAACACTATGTGCAGAATGTCACTGATCTAAGAAGATATGTCTTCATATGCATATTTTCTTATAATTAAAAAATAAAAACCCAAACATTGGAAGGCAAAACCATAAAACAGTTTTGGGGAACTGAGGGATTCGGGTGAATGAGACAAAGAAGCCAGACTTCTGTTTATAACTTTTCTATTTTGAAACAATATAAATATCTGAATTTACATTTAAAAACCAAATTAAGTAGCAAGCAACAACAGCAAAAAAGCAAATCTTTAAAAATCAAAAGTAAAATGATGTAATTCTAGTGAAAGGTTGCAACAAATACAGCTGCCAGAAATTAAGTCAGATTCAGAAGAAGACATAGACTGAGAGATATCACTGCTTACATCAGATGGATCATGACTGAAAGTAGAAAGATATTTATTTGTACTTTATTGACTATGCAGAGGTATTTGTGCAAATCATAAGAAACTATAGACAGTATTTTGAAGAATGGGAATTTTAGAACACTTAATTGTGCTTACATGGAACCTGTACATAGACCAAGAGGCAGTCATTTAAATAGAACAAGGGAATACTAAGTTGTTTAAAATCAGAAAATTTCAACAATCAATCTGTAAAATGAGCAAATAATCTGGAAAACTGGGCTATATGAAGAAGGAGGCATCAGGATTGGAGGTAGACCTGTTATCAACTTGTGATGTGCAGATGACACAACCTTGTGGCTGAAAGTGAAGAGGACTTAAAGTAGTTACTGATGAAGATCAAAGACTCCAGCCTTCAGTATAGATTACACCTCAACATGAAGAAAGTAAAAATCATCACAACTGGACCAATAGTCAGTATCATGATAAATGAAGAAAACATTGAAGTTGTTAAGAATTTTATTTTACTTTGATCCATGGAATCAGCAGTCAAGAAATCAAATGAGGTATTTTACATTGAGCAAATCTGTTGAAAAAGACCTCAAAAAAACTCCAAAAAAAACAATGGTGTTAATTTTGAAGACTAGTAATGGTATTTTCAATCACCTCATATGCATGCAAAAGTTGAACAATGAATAAGGAAGACCAATACATTTGAATAATGGTGGAGACAAAAAAATTGACTATTATCAATGGACTGCCAGAAGAACAAACCAATCTGTCTTGGAAGAAGTTCAGCCAGATTGCTCCTTA